AAAATCAAGAACATCCACTACAAATTCGTAGGAATTAGTCCAACTAGGCGAAAGCGCGGCCATAATCCAAAGGCCCCGCGGACCGTTCTGCTTCCCGACGGTTGATCTCTATATGTTCACTCACGATCGTGTTGTGGTACGTGTCCAGTACATATTAGTTACGGTACCTTGTTTTCGTTGGTTTTTTGAAGTGTGATTTTTTATTGCTGGCTGGTTGTGCCTGAGATCAAACCCCAATGGATTCAGTGGATGTTCACTGTCGATGGCGAAAGCCCTCACTAGCAAATCTTTCCAACTGTGACATAAACTTATCTTTTCCTGTCTATTTGCATCCACAAATAATGAGTTCGCGAATTCTTTCGCTCGTACTGAGGTCTTCCTTGAGTATTGTTCGTCAAGTTTTCCTCCCCTCATCTAATCCCGGAACATACTTGTAGGTTCATTGCTTCTGCCTGAGTTTGAAATTGGCACTGAGCTCTGCCAGCCGAACTATTATTCCCTGGCGTTGCCTAGGTCCAAAAGGTGTGTTGGCAAAAATCTTGCACACGCATTCGGCCACAGTTTGAAGTCTCTCACGTTCACTTCAAGGCGATTGTCCATCGCGGCTTTTGTTGTTGATGTGATGTCCATCGTGGTCGAGGGCCGAAGCGGTCTGCTGACGCCTTCTCCTCTCTGTTGAATTTCTTTGACCGTATTTTTTTCAGTGATTGCTTGCACCCCATGCGGACCGTTTGATGTCCGTGTTTTAGTAGTTTTATCCTTCCAGAAAACTGGTGCTTGCTTGAGGAGAATTGTTTATTACGGATCACAGTTAGAGTTGTCTCATTAGGAACATTTCATCAAAATTCCCAGCATAACATAGGATAATAAATAGTTATCATTTTTCAACGCAATAATTCACTCTAGGTCTTGCTCATTTTTGACCGTTGTGAGAAACCGTAAATAACTTTTCTTTGCGCAATCCAATCATACTACTCACAAATGTGAGTAGGCCCTCACAACAGCAAGTCGTTATCCCAGAAACAAAATACTACTCTGAAGCAATATGCAAATCAATGCGGTTAAGGGTGACAGAAGTAGACTGGTGCGAGCATAAACAACAAAAAACAATTGGCTGTTGCATATGTCGTTCTCCTTTCGAGAAAACACAAAGCAATCATCAAAATATGCACGCATCGTGTAACACGTGAATGCACCGGACGACTCAAAAAAATGCACAACATTGTCACCACGCCTATGCTTGTTCGTTTCTTTTCCTTAAGCGAGTGGTAAAAGTTTCTCCGGCTGCCACGTTCTTGTTCATCTGACTAATATTCTTCTGGCGATTCACCGTCCTTACGACCTGATCAAATCCGTCACAACGCATCATGTGATACTCCAGGGGTTAGGAGGACGGATTATCACTGTAGTGACTCACGCGCCTCTTCACGTGGTCCACTCATAAACAGAGGGCATGTATGACCTGGAACGCGAATCGGTGAGCACTGTCTCGATCGAACACATTGAAGAAACCATTGGAAGCGTCACAAAATAGAAAACCGGAAACGTTCAGTTTTAAGGACCTGTGATTCCGAATTACAAAAATTTGTGTAATTTTTCATTTCTCAGAATTCTTTTGTATCACACAGTTTAACGCCGTCTAGTTTGGTTATCACTAAATTTTGTCTTAGTTTCTGCCACTTTTGTTCATCGAGAGTATGGTTTCTGATTTGAGGTTCTGTTTTCAAGAAGTACTGTAAGTCCTGTTGCGTTACGCTTGTGACGACGGATGGATGATTCAAATAGTCACTTTACAGTGGCCGTCGCAATCCAGGCTAGCTAAAGTATACCATACAAAAGTTTTAATATGCCCATGATACTATTGGAAAAAGACTGTTTTAGAGTAAAAAGTCATTTTCGATTATTCCCATTCATTCTCGTGCATATGCTGTAGGTCACTGGCTTGTGACTATACGGGACTGAAAAGGAAACGCGTGTATGGAGGAGGAAGTTAGCTTATTTTTGATTGATGTGGTCTTCCTTCAGTTGAGTCACGTAATAAATTATGCCTCGCCACAGTAGACCGAGGCAGTAAAAGTGCCCGGACAAATTGGTTGTGTGCACACTAATTTGTGCTCTCCGTGCCGTCGTGTATTGTTTCCTGATGCGTTGAGCAGATGTCTTACTGTACGACCTACGTAGAATGCGCCACAGACGCATCTGAACGGTTGACTTATCCCTTGCGTGAATAAAACTGATTTCAGGTCGTCTATGAAAACCACTTCAAATGTGCTCATCACCTTTAAATCAGATTTTGATGAACAAGTTTTCTTGTCCCGATTCAAACTGCTGTTTGAGGGGTTAACCGGATGTCCTATCCTGAGTAGTGACTAAACCTTTTGTGCAATCGTCCAGTAAATTACTGATATAAGCGGGATCAGAAATCACCGAAAACAACTGCTTCCTCTCCAACACCTGTTATCAATTTTTTTATCAAAATGCAATGTGGTAGATTCCAGGCAATCTTCAGGTGGCAAGACGATTTACGGTTGACATTACATGATATGACGATTTATTACCACTACACTCATGCCTATAAACTGGCCTTAAGTCACGGGAGTCTTTTTTCTTATGTACACTTGAGAGTTAACTGATTCAGCTCATCAACCAGGTGAAGAGACAAGTCACTCGAGCATTCACTTTTCACATGATGGCAAGATTGTGCTTAATAGACCCCATCATTTTTACCCTTCATAAAGTTATGTAATGATCTCGGAGAGAGGAATTGCCACCCTACGGTTTATTTCTGTTCATCTTTCGCACAAATTTGTTGGCCTACACTTGGAAAACTAGCCGCTCACATTGTGCATCGATTCAGAATACTACGACAAACTATCAGCATCTTATTGAAATCACGAAATACAATCGTGAATAACCCTTACCGTGAACCTCCATTGCTAGACGCATGCTTTTCAAGCGAACTCATAATCATGCACACCTTCTCCGAGTCAAACAGTTCAACAGAATGTCGATTCTATCCGAAAATCTGTTTTTGTCCGATATTAATCCGTGTAGTATCAATATCTCTCATCGTGTTTCGTATTGCAACCCTTTAATTTGTCACTTCAACCTTCCTGAAAATTCTATCATGGTGTATTCAATAAGAGAAAGTAAAAATGAAAAATAGTTCCCTGTTAGTGCTTTTCAAGTATCCGAAACCCGTGCTTTTGTTTCAAATCAACTGCTGGAAAGTATCTTCAAAGAAACCGATTAAACCGACTCGACAAAGACCTTCCAAGAAGGTCGAAACGTTGTCACCGAAATCTTGTGTTTTGGTATTCACGTTGTGGCGGAAACAAACCTGATTCTATTATCTTCAAAGAAGTATGCAGTTCTGATAATGTACTGTTCGAAGTCAGTCAAAGCAGGTCCCCCTCTAAGGATTCGTCATCGATTGATCTGCGCACATATACAGAACGTTGGATGCTCAACTACCCGCGTTGCGTGAATATTGGACACAGAAACAGGATGTTCTTCAAAGGCATCAGCTGTTTCATCATTTGGCTTACTCAGACACAGTGTTTTTAATTATCTATTCGTTAAACATTTAGGAAATTCAATAATAACGATAATGTTTTTTAGCATTTAAGATTTCTGTTGTGTAAAGTGATTCATCACAAAAAGCTCGTCCTCTCACAAAATAGCCTTGGTCTTTTTCTTCTACATATTCTGTGCCTCAGGCATCTACCGGCTCGCGTTAAGTCATGAAAAGCTGGGCATCAGTCGGGAGAACCTCGCCACGCGTGTACTACCTCATGTGATCCCGCTGTCTGTGGAAGGCACCCTGAATCTCAAACAGTACAATGCCTTTGCAGCTCTGATTCGAGACATGTGCACGCAGTTGGAGCGGGAACAACGCGCCAAATTGGAACAAATGCACGGTGTTACTGAGGAGCCTAAGTAAGTCCCTTGCAACTAATGTGTCGCGGTGACCTTCCCGATGGATAGAATGTCTGTCTGTGTGCCGGTAATCCACCTCAGTCTGATAACATCTTTTCCCGTATTGTGATTGCTTAATTTCTGTGCATTCACTGAGTACGGTATTGTATTTGTCTCATAATGTTTTTAACCTCTGGAGAAGAATTATAAAGCAACAGTTCACCCTCGCGTTGGGTAGCTCTTGACGAATTGATTGAAGTTCTTTCTCGGTGCACCCTTTGATCGAATAATTGATACACCACTTGATGATCGCAATTAACTACATTTATTGCCAAAACTGAAAAATGTCTTTCAAGTGTAATGGTGTTAAAACTTTGAATCATTTCAATTT